AAAAAATTTTTGACATATTTTTTCTCTTCTTCTTATTTACAATTTTGTCTAAAGGGAATTTTTTTTTTTCTTTATTATTTTTATTTTTTTAAATTTACCAATAAAGAAGGAAAGTTGAAAAATTTTTTCTCCAAAAACGGGCCAAAAAATCAAAAACATTAAAAAAATTTTTTTTCATTATACTTTTGGGGTTTGATTTCCCTTTTTATTTTTTTTCCTCTAAAAATTTAAAAGGTTTTTTTTGTTTTTCAGTAAAAGTTTCCAACAAAATTTTTACCGATGTTTTTTTTAAAATTTTTAAAAATTTTTTGGGTTTTTTTTAAAGGGGAAAAAAAAGTAGTTTAAAATTTAAAAAGGGTTTTTTTTTTTCAAAAAGATCCCCAAAAACCCGGGGAAAAATTTTAATTTCATTAAAAAATTTTTTCTTTTAATCCACAACATGCTTTGAAAAATTAAAAAATGAAAGCCCCATTTTCTTTTCGGGGTTTTTTTTCTTTTACCCCCTTTGTTTTTCCCTGGCAAAAAGGAAACCAAAAATTTAAAGTTTTTTGGGTAGCATGGGAAAAAACTACCTTTAAAAAATTTTTAAAAACCCTTAAGGGAAAATTTCCCAAAAAAGAAACTTCTGGTTATTCCCTTGTCTTTTAATTTAATTTTTAAATCGGGTTTACTAAAAAAATTGGGGAAAATTTAAAAATTTTTGTTGTTAAACCCCCCCCCCAATTTAGGGAAAGTCAGAATTTTAATTTCTTTTCCCCAAAAAAAAATAAAATTTAAAGGGACCCAAATTTATTTTAATTTAATTTTTTAATTAAAAAAATATTCATTTTAACAAATTTGCCTCGATAAAGGAAAAAAAAAGGGAAAAACCCCCTTTAAAGGTTTTTTATACTTTTTTTTTGGTTTTTTAGCCCAAAAAAATTTTTCTTGAAAAAAAGGAAAATATATGTATTTAAAAAAAGGGGAAAGGGAAACCCTTTTTTATATTGTTAATTAAAAATTTTTAATTTTAAAAACACCTGTACCAAAATTTAAACAAAAAAAAAACTAAATTTTTTTATATAAAAAAAAGGCGATTTAGGGCCCTTTTTTAAAAATTTGGGGGGCCAATCTTGGCGGCCTCTTGGATTTTTTTCAAAAAAAGTACCCATGATTTGAAAAGGGCCCCAATTTTTTTTTTTTAAAAATTTTAAAAAATTTGCTTACATTTGGGGTTTTAACATTTATCCATGGACCCCTTTTTTTCACCAAAAAAAGGTCCCCCCCGGGCTTACTTTTCTGGGGGTTTTTGTTTTTTTATAAAAATGGGGGGAAAAAAAATTTTATTTTACGGGTTAAAGGGCTCCAAAATTTAAAAAAACATGAAAAAAGTTTACACGGGAAAAACCTTATAAAAATTTTTGGTAAAAAAATTTTTATCCCCCCCAAATCGGGAAAATTACGGTTTTTCTGTTTTAAAAATTAAAATAACAAATTAAAAAAATAATCCTTTTTAGATTTTTTTACAAAGTTTTAAAAAAAAAATTCTGGAAACCCAAATTTATCCCCTTTGGAAGCATTAAAACAAAAAAAAATAAAAAATAAAAATTTTTCCAAGGGGGGCTTTGGTTTTATTAAATCCGTACAATTTAGGGGTAATGGATAAGTTTAACATTCCCCTTTACGCCCCCCCCAGCACCGGCTTGAGGCCGGGGACCAATTTTCAAAAAACTTTATTTGTGTTGGGGTTCCAAAAATTCCGGAAAGGACCAGAAAAAAAATAACAAAAAAACTGAAGGAAAAAAAACCCCCTTTAATTAAATTTTTTTTGGTTTTTTTTGTTTAAAAGTAAAAAAAAAAAACCCCCGTTTGTTTTAAAAAACAAAATGCCCCCGGGGTCAAGGAAATTTTGTCGTAGGGAAAATTTCAAAAAAAAAAATTTAAAACCCCTTTTACTTTTTTAATGGACAGAAAAAAATTTACCAAAAAAGTTATATACTTGGGCCCCAAAAATCCCCTGGCATTTTTGTTTTAAAATTATTAAATTTTGGGGCCAAATCATTTCTTTTATTTTTGAAGTTGGAAAAAAAAAATTAAATTTTTTCAAAACCAAAAAAAATTTGGGGAAAAAAAATTTTTGTCAGAAAAAAAGGCCTTTTGGGCCCAAAATGTAAAAAAAATATTTTTAAAATGGGGACCCCTTTAACCCAAAAAATGGAAACCCCCATCTCCTTAAAACTAAAAAAAAGAAATTTTCCATGTAAGTTTATCTTCCTACCAAAAATGAAATACAAACTGTCAATAAAAAAACTTTGGGGGAAAAAATGTAAAAACTATTTTTGGGGACAAGTACCGACCCCCTATCCCCCCAGGAATCCCGAAGTTATCTTCCACCAAAAATAAAAATATTTTTACTTAATAAAGGGGGATAAGCAAATGTGTAAAAATCTATTTTTTGCCGGGACCTTACCCAAACTCCATCAAAGTTTAGTTTTTTATCAAAATTTTTAAAAAACATCTTCAAAAATAAGGCAAAAACACCTGTAAAATGTAAAAAAACTTTTTTAAAAATTGTGGCCCCTTGACATTGGGGAAAAAATTACCTTTGACCCAATGGGGCCCCTTTCTACACCAAAGAAGGGGGACCCCCATTGGCTGTTTTGTATTATAACTAAGACAAATCACATTATAAATTTATAAAAGGCTGTATGAGCAAAAATGTTTATAATTTATTTAATTAAAACCAGTGACCTTGATTCCTAACAGAGAGCGCGACTCCACAAAAAATTAGAGGACCATCAAGGGGTATCCACTACTAATATGAAAGGTATCTTTTAAAGAAATTAAATCAATTAGAAGAAATTTAAGATAAATCCAACTTGCCGAAATAGGTTAATGCAACAAAGGCCCTATTTCAAAAGTGAAAAAAAGTAAATAAACTGGGGGAAATATGGATGACACAGTTATATTAACTTGGCAATATCATGTACTTTGTATTGATAAGTAAGTGTGTAAATTATAAAAAGCCATTAGTATAGCATAGAACTTGCCATTTTAGGTTAACCATTATTCATTTTCTAAGTGCTAAAAAAAGGGCAATAACTTGGTAAAATATGAAAGCCAGGGTTATGTTACTTGCCCAGAATCATGTAACTTGTGTTGATTAGTAAAGTGTGTAAAATTTAGAAGCCATTGTAACGGTAGAACTTTAGAAAAAATCCAAAACTTGCCGTTCAGATTAACCTCGTACGGAACAGACGGACGGACGGACGGTTCAATCACTATATGCCGCGGGGGCATAAAATCACAACATAATAATGTTTAAATACAGACACTTATTTGAAAATTGCGTTTTACATAAAAGAAAAGACTTTAGTGAAAAATGACTTGAATGTCTTTAAAATCGTAATTATAACGAATAACATAAAAATGCCATACCTGTCACGTTTCGATTGCCACAACATTTACAAGGTCCAGTGCCGAAGTAGCCCAGTTTATGTGGTCATTAAGTCAAATGTTGTTCCAAACATTATCCACAAAACCAATATCCGAGCTGGAACCGTCCCATTAACTGCAAAACTATGAAAAAATGACAACTGTAATTGTGCTAAATGAAATCGACCTCCTTCTTATATTTAAATTTCTGGATTAATTATCTATTCGAAAATTCATTTAAATTACCTGAATGTATTCTGTATCCAAGAGGCTTTAATTTAACCCCGGACCTTTTGGCGTATTTAAATATTATTTAAAAATTTTTTTGAACTTTTAAAGGGTAAAAACATCAAAACAGATTTTTTTCAAAACAATATTTTGGCTTAACCCCCTAATATTTTTGCCCATAAAAATTTTGGGGGTTATCAAAAAATAAAATATGCGTGGGAGTTACCCAAAAAAATTTTTTTCTCATTTTGGAATAGAAATGCCTTCAAAAATTTTTAAAATACCTAATATTAACATTTTTAAAAAAAAAAGAAAAACTATGAAATTTTCTCTTTCAACTCGACGTAGTTTAATAAAATTCAAAAAAAAAAAAATTTTGGTGAATTTACCCAAATAAAATTGTTCACATTGAAAATTTTGTTGTTTTTTGAGTGTTGAAAAAAGCTATGGCACAGGGGGGAAAAATAGTATAGCGGAAAAACAATTCTTTTTTCGGTAGGTTTGAACGGGTCTCGTATGTAAGAAAAGGGGATTAAAATAAAAGAATTCCTAAAAAAACCATATGAAGCGATTTTTTGGGCCGCCATTTGCCCTTACCGTAACCGAAAAAAATCACTGATTCCCTACCTTTATATGGGGGAAATGGAGGTCCCCCCCTGAAAAAATTCGGGGTCTTTTAAAATAAACTTTTACACTATGCAGACAATTAACTTATAAAAGAAACGCCCCGTAAAGGGGGGGCAAATTATTAAAGGCGTTCGCTTTTGCAGACCAATGCCCACCCACAATTTCAAGTTGAGATGGCTGCTGCAACTGACTGCGGGTTTGAAATTTCCCCATTTCCCCCTATCCTCTGGACTTGGTCCTTGACTTCTACATTTTTCCGAAACTAAACTGAAGTTGTGGTAGACTTTGAAACATTTTTAAGGTTTTTTTTGAAACCAAAAAAGGAAGTTTATTTTTAAGGGAAAAAAAACAAATTGGAGCCAGGGGACAAATTTCATTATTTTAGAGGTGATTATATTTAAATAAGACATTATGGGGTTTTTGACTACCGGAATACACGGGCCAAAACTTTTTTATCAAAACCCGATGGGCTTTTTTCCCAAAAAAACCCGCAAAACAAAATATTTGTTTGTTTTTTTTAAAGACCCCTACTAAAATTTTAATTTTTCATGTAAACAATCATAAAGAACAAAAAAATTATTGACGCCTAGATACCTACAGTACTACAAATTTTAATTTGAAAGCTATCTTGACAAAAGATTTCGAGTTGCGCTTGAAAAATTTCGCATGTCGTCACACGGCATGAATATTGAGATGGGAAGATATACAAAATAACCTAGACATTTAAGAATATGCATTTATTTTTCTTCAAGGCAAATTGAAAACGAGTTTCACTTTTTGTTCAAATGTTCACAATATGCTGACCTTCGCCAAAATTTCATAGACGCTACTATAATACATGGCAGAAATTTACTAATTTAGTGTTGTCTGAATCTAAAATAATTATAAGAGATCTTTCTAAATATCTATTTTTTATACAAATTAAATCAGAAAGCAGTTATGCAGAACTTCAAACAAGTTTTATTATGAATTCATATCTTTCACACCGTACTTTTATGCTCTTTAAAAAATCTATGTCCTCTGCAAAAATATATCTTGTTCATGTGCTATAAACATGTAATGTATTTTTTATGCATATATACTTCTTATTTCCTCCAGTTTTGAAAAGTACACACAGTACATAAATGTATGACTGACAAACAAACATGTGAATATAATTATATAAATGTAACAAATACCAAATAAATACAGAATGGATGCATAACACAGATAAGGTTAATATTTATTCAACATAGAAACCATACGTACTTGTATATGAAAACTAACAAAATTTTGAAATATTGTATTCAGCAATATCCTCTGGGCGAAACGAAAAAAGTATCTTGAAGGATTATACAAATTTAATATCTACATGTACCTGCAACACTGGATAAGATTTATGACCCAATTTAAACAATTACATAGAGCTATGTATATAAAATTAAAAAATAATGAAAATGAAATAATTAGGAACAACAGTGCATGCGTGTGTGTGTGTGCGTGCGTGCGTGTGTGCGTGCGTGCGCGCGAGCGTGGGAGAGTTTGTGTTTGTTTGTGTAAGTACGAGTCTGTGTATGTGTGAGTTTGAATGAGCGTGTTTCATACATCAAAGTAAGACTGACAGCGTGTATTTGTTTACCGATGCATGAAGACAATTGAAACAAACACTCTGGTCTCGACAATGAAATAAATAGCATTTGTTACTATGTTACAATTTTTTGCAGCTCATATCATATTTCCTAGAAATTTGTTTTAAATTGGTAATTTCTTTTGCGACTGAAATGCCAAAGAATACATGGTTCAAAAACAGGATGTACAAGAAGGCGTTGATTCAAACTTTCATCGCACAGTGCAAGGTTTTTCCAATCAAACTCTATTGATTGCCGTTTTGACTATTCTTTTCCAGGTACGGAGATTTTGTATTACTCCTTTACGATAAAAGATTATTATAAGGAATCTTGTAAGGTTATATTTTCTTAAGTTCATGTAATAGATATCTGGTAAGAATCTCTTGATTTTTTGAAATATGTATAAATGACAAAAACTTCTTTTATTCGAAAATAAGTGTCTTAAAGGCAGAAATGGCCAAATAACAGGTTCGTTGATCTATCATATTGGACATAGGTTGAATACTGATACAGCTCTGGATTATATCAATCCTAGTACTAATTGGTATTGACGGAACGCGTTTTATACATTGGTTATGAGTCATTAACAAAACGACAAATGTAAATTGACTTAACAGTATACATACAGGATAAGCAATTATAAGTAAATAATACAGTTTATTCTAAAGAATCAACTAGTATCGCATGTCAATTGATTGTGAGTTTACATCAGCAATGATAAAAGTCCAACATTTATCACAATGATTTATAATACATCAAAAAGAATATCATAAAACGTAAATATGATGATTATAATAAAAGTCCAAATTTAGGTGCTTAAAAACATACGTAAGGCATTAATTGAGTTCCCAAGGAAAGATGTCACGTTTCTCACGACGAGGGTGCGTTTTCTTTATCCAAGGAAGTTGACAAAAACATGTGTGTCCCTCCCGGTTTTCTCATCAACAGCTTTGACGACAATTTCTGTTCCACTAAATGTCATGGATACTACAACACGTCTTCCTGGTAACTCATCTGGGTTTTCTAGATCTAGTCTGATTTCCCCAATGTATGTACAGTCATCTGTATACCTTGCTTTAGTCAGTTCAGTGGCATAAATTGGAAACTTTATTCGACGTTGAAATGTTTGATTTGTTCTGTAACCTCTTTCGACTTGAGGTTCATGACATCTTACAACTTGACCTTTCTCCACGTGCTTACTGAACGTTTTACATCTCAAGCCAGTTGCAGCTTGAAGTTTGAGATGCTCAGGATCAATACCTTCTTTAAACGGTTGAGTAGTTCCCACGCCGTATGTATATTTCAAGACTCTTTCACGTATAGATATAGGGCTGTGTCCATACACCAGAGCTCCTCTGACAATAGTAGATGATGCACCGATTGGTATTACAACGTCTACGTCTGGGAACGCTTCTTTGATTGCGTGTTGAAGCAAAGGGGATTCAGAATAACCACCTACCATTAAAATACTTTTTATCTTCCTTGTGTTTTCATCTCGGAGAAGGGCTGAAACGTGACCGATAGTTTTTCCTATTGAATGTTCAAAAAGACTCTTGAAGAGACTGGCGGAAATTTTTATCTTGTCTCCACCAAACTGAATATCCTTTGTATATTTAGAAGCCTCAATGGCATCCATTAGTTTTCCTTTAGTAACTTTTTCAAATGTGTTACTTAACGAGAGAGGAAATTTCATATTTACACGAGCCGTTTTTTCCGGTGCAACACCTCTTTTTTTTACTTCAAAATCACGCCAGAGGTCAAGCCAATCCTCTGTTTCCGTTCGTTTAAATACGTCATAAACCTTTCGCCCAGTCAGATCAATGATAAGGTTTTCAAAGGCTTTGTCAACGAGCATGCCTCCCCATCCACCACCACTTGCTGACTGGATCTCTTTAACGCTGTTCTCGCTGACAACTTCGTGTACCGTTATATCTATTGTACCGCCTGAAAAGTGGAGCATTGATAAATAAATAAGGTAATACTGGTAATTCCTGTTGGAAATATCAAACACTCTATTAAATATGGCTTTACCAACTCGGAAAACAAAGTTCATAGCCCTAAATTAAAACAAGAACCACCGCTGAGCGGGGGCAACGCTCGACGTTTTTACTTTTTCTAAAAGCAAACAAATAAACGGTTGAAACAAATCTGTAAAATAAAAAGTAGAAAAAAAGTTTTTCCTTTCTTAAAAGTTTAATAGGTCTGTCTAGTCACACTTGTTTTTTTTTAAATTTCATAAATATACGACAATGTTAAGAAAATATAATCAATCTATTTAAAAAAAAATCGATCATTTTACGGCCAAGGTCATTTTAAGGTCAAAGTCTAACTGAATTATTCCATATGTCTGTTTGGTCCAGAGTGTAGTTTTGTCAACATATGAATCAAATCCATACTCAGTACTGGTTGGTTCCAGGAACGGATTCGAAAGTGTGCTTATAAGCTAATAGCTACCTACACAATCGAACTAAAATAAATTCTGTATATAAATCCATACATAAATAACAAAACAATGACAACTTCACCAAAATTCAATACTTAGACCTTGACAGTCAAAGTCATTTAGAGCTTTAGATCAAAGTCAGTTCAACCATTAAAATGCCCATAAGGTTGTTTTGTACAAATATGAAACAAAATCGATTGGTAACTTACAAAGTTACAACCAATTATAGCAATAATCAGTGAAAATGGAATAATTTGACCTTCATGGTCAAGGTCATACATGATCTAAGGTCAACTTAAGTTTGATATACATGAAGATCCTGACCTTGAAGATCTTGTGTCTCCATATGAAGTTAATCCATAACAAAAAAATAATTCATTAATTTGACCTTGACAGTTAAGGTCAATTAAGCGTCAAGGTAATAAATATGTTTGTTTGGTAGAAAGTCTTGCTTTGTCGAAGTTTAAATCAAATCCGTACATAAATAACAATATAATGACAATTTAACAAAAAAAATTGATAATTTGACCTTGATGGTAAAGACCATTTAAAGCTCAAGGTCAATGTCAGTTAAATCTTATAGAAGGTGTTTCCAAAATTATGTTTTATCACAATATAAGGATAATCCATCTATTAATTACCAAATAGAATTATAGCAAAAATCTGTGAAAAATCAATTATTTAAACTACAAGGTCAATGTCATTAAAGAGCAAAAGTCAAAGTGAGTTTGATATACATTAAGTTCTTATCCTAAAGAACGTTCTGTTACAATATTCAATAATAACAAAGTTATAGCCAGTTGCAGTACAGCAAAAAAATAAATCAATGATTTGACCTTTAAAAGTCACGGTCATCAATGAGTGAAGGTCAATGTCTGTCTGGTCATCTAAAAGGTCTATCCGAAAAAATATTATGTTTAAGTTTAAAGACAATACATTCAAAAATAACAAAATCATATCCAGTAATACCAAAAAAACACCTAAAAAACAAGCAAACTTTAGACTTTAAATAAGAACATTGAAGGCCAATGTCATTTAGCAGATCAATAATAGTCTACTAAAAGGTATTGTCCCAATGGTTGTTGTGGCCAAGTATGAAAACAATACACCAAGAGTTTAAAGCGCCGGCAATGTCAACGGCAACGCCGACATGACTATAACAATACCTCTACTCTTTTAAAAATGTCGAGCTAAAAACGAATTAACACGAACGCGCTGCTTAATTTTCCAAACCTCTTGAAATATGAAAAAATGTCGTACTTGGACATTTTTGCAAGTGTAGGATTTACGAAGAATACGCGGTCACTTACAAAACACATAGCTTGTACAACCCTGATGAAACAGATTTCAAAATAAAACCAAATTTTCCACTATCCTAGAGTCAAATTTCAACTTTTATCTTTCTTTTTTGTATTCGCTGTGAAAACGTTTACGTTTTGGATTTATGGAAATTGTGTGTATTGTTCGCCAAATAACCCCTCTTGTCTAGTAAGCTAGTTATTCTTCTTCATTGATTTGGTGTAACATAATGTAAAACTTGTATATTCTTTAACAAGTTTTTATCCGTTTGTGAAATGATATCGTAATCATATTTTCATGCCAAGCCTCTCAATTATAAATATTTGATTTATATTCAAAAAAATATAATATCAATTCTATTATTCTTTGTAAAATACAATTGTATTTTAAATTGGTATCAGTAATGAAAGAATAAATCAAAAGTTTGAATACTTTGTATCTCTATATAATACATGAAAAAAATAATAGAATATTGATTGAAATTATAAATATGATTATTAATACAATTATAATAAACAATATAATAATTGTACCACAACAATGTGAATTTCACAAAAATATATGCTGAATAAAAGTTAAGTGCAAAATCAAAGATAACAAGAATTCGAAACAGAGGTAACAAAGCCCCCCCCCCCACCTAAGGGAAGTTTTACATGAAGCACAAAATGGGCTCTTTCACCAGATTGAGGTATCTATCCGGAATTTCAGTGCAAAATCTTGATCAATGCTAGATGTGCACATGCAATAAAAATCATTAAAATAATAGAATAAATAAATCATTTGTATGTGTTAACAGAAATACATTTGAATAATTGTAGTCACCATTTCTTAACCATAAAATGTAAATGTGACAAAGACAAAATCAATACAAGGTATGGTCTGTTACAAGGTATGTTTCCTCGCCGGTCTGTAACTTTTTCATCGATCAAGTGCCAAGTATTTACAAAATACCTTGATGGATAAGAAAGTTATGGACCGGACACATCATATACTAGTATCCTCCAGCAGAAAAGGTTGACCTTTAATCACCAAGTGTGACTGACCTTGGAAATAGGGTTCTGGGTGTTGCGCATGACACATTGCCTTATTATAACAAACATTTGTGCCACGCTATGAATAACTTGGTCTTGGACCGGACACGAAATTGTGACAAACAGACAGATTGATGTACAGACGGACGGAGACCATTTCTATATCCCCCTTTTTAGCTCACCTGTCACAAAGTGAGATGGTGAGCTTTTGTGATCAATTTCGTCCGGCGTCCGTCCGTTCGTCCGTCGTCGGTAAACTTTAACTTTAAACGACATCTCCTCATATACCTTTAAGTCAATTTCATCCAAACTTCACAGGAATAGTCCTTTTGTGCTCACCTTTAACAATTGTTCAAAGAATTTAATTCCATTCAGAACTCTGCTTGCAATGGCAACCGGGAGAAAAAACTTAAAATATCTTCTTTTAAAAATTCAAAAGAGGTAGAGCTTAGATATTTGGCATGAAACATCTTCTAGTGGGTATCTATCAAGTTTGTTCAAATAAAAGCACTGGAGACAAAAATGGCCCGCCCCAGGGGGTCATTGATTTTCCTTACATGTATAAAGCAAAAAGTAAAAAATCTTTTTTAAAAAAAAATAGCTAGAGCTTAAATATTTGGCATGAAACATTGTCTGATGAGTGTCTATCAAGTTTGTTTAAATAAAAGCCCTGGGGTCAAAAATGGCCCCGCCAGGGATTTTCCTTATATGTATATAGTAAAAACTTAAAAAATCTACTTTTAAAAAACCGAAAGAGCTAGAGCTTAAATATTTGGCATAAAAAACATCTTCTAGTGAGTGACTATAAAGTTTGTTCAAATAAAAGCCCTAGGGTCAAAATTAGCCCCTACCCTGGGGCCATTGTTTTTTCCTTATATGTATATAGTAAAAACTAAAAAAAACTTTAAAAAAATCTTCTTTTAAAAAACCCAAAGACATCTTCTGGTGAGTGTCTACAAAGTTTGTTCAAATAAAAGCCCTGGGATCAAAATTGACCCCACCCCGGAGGTACTGATTTTTTTCCATATATGTCTAAAGTAAAAACTTTAAAAAAAACTTATTTTAAATAACCCATAGAGCTAGTGCTTAGATATATAGCATGAAACATCTTCTTGAGAGTGTCTACCAAATTTGTTCATATAAAAGCCCCCGGGTTAAATTGCTCCGCCCGGAGGTCTGCTTTTACTTATATGTCTATAGTAAAAACTTATAAAAATCTTCTTTTAATAACCCCAAAGAGCTAGAGCTTAGATATTTATCATGAAACATGATAATGGGTGTCTTCCAAGTTGGTGGAAAAAAAGCCCTGGGTTAAAATTAGCCCCGCCCCAAGGGCATATATAGGTGAGCGATTTCAGGGCCATCGTGGCCCTCTTGTCTTCAAAAGGCGGGGGACAAAAAGCATTTAGTGTAATTGTACATGATCCGATGGGTCTATCAATATTAACATTTATGTGCCATACCTCCTGCATCAAGGACCATGTATCTAGTACCAACAGGCATCTTCGCTATTGAAATATTTCCACCAGAAATAGCTGTGTCCACCGATAAATGGCGGCAGAATATCGATGCTGCTTCTGGCTCCAGTGCAATCGTCAATTTGTTCGTTAAAAGTCCAGCCTTAAATGATATTTTATGGTGTGATATTTCAATTATATTGAAAATGACAATGCCAACTTAACCTTTCGACCCTTGCTGTATATTTAAAATATGGCTTTACATTTTAATTTATCAAAATACAGATCGGCTATAATCACACATCAAACAGTGTAACTCATCAGGAAACGTAACAATTATTCATTTTCTTGCTATTTAGAATGTAAGTATGATAAAAAATATCAATACAGAAGAGAAACATTACCTGCACAGCAGCTTCTCTCATGAATTGTTTGGCAGCATCTGTCCATATTGCTGGGACAGTCAGTACCCAGTGAACTTCATCCTTGCCAATAGCGGAGGTTAGTTTATCTTTTACATTCTTCATCATATCTCCTACTAAGAAGTCTATTGCCATGGCAAAAACGTTTAGTGCATTCATCGATTTTCCCATCTCATCTTCTATAGTCATATTACGGTCCAGGTTCTGGTGTATAAAAAGCATACTTTCATTATATTTGCCACAATTAGTCCAAAAATCACATGTTAAAACATAACACGCAACATTATAACATATTTACAGGTCCAAACGCCCGAATATCTCCAATAAATTAAACTATCGTTATTATTTCAAGAATACTTGATGCAGGGAAAAATACGAGAATAAAGATAAACAAGGCACTAGGTGCTTTAAAAAGTTACTCTCCGTAATTGCTTAGTTACAACCAACGTGACTGAAAGATTTGTAAAGAGCATAGTATCGTTCAGTAAAGAGTACACCATTTAGTTTGAACTTAGTTCAAATTTAAGTACTAATTACTTAGAATTTTCTTTGCCTTAAGTCATTAGCACGGGGATGGAACCCAGTATGTATCTCAAAAAATAGCATCGGTAAAAAGTATTATGAATTTACGCTGCTCCAGATGTGACGTATGTAACGTATTTTTTTATCAAATAACGCAGATGCAAGTGCTAACAAAAATAATTCCTGCAAGACCAACATGGAAGGGGGAATTCAGGAATTGCATATTGCATAGTTATATAAAACTATTTAATTGATCACAAGAACTTGTTAGATTACCTAGACAACCTATGCTATGCTTGTCTTATGCTGACAACTTGTATATGTTGAGGGTCATGTTTTTAAATGTGTCTACATAATTTGAGTGCATAAATAAGATATGTTTATTTTTTGTAGATCGTGATTTATAATGCACTAGGGCAGTAATTCAGAGTGATTAAATATACGACAAATGCACGACCTTTATTATAAGAAATCACGGCTAATCCTTACCTCACCAAGCTTCTTGTTGAGTGCCATTTTAAATCTTCTAAAGTAGTAGTACTTCTCGTGCATTTCATTATCTGCAAGCTCCCTGTATTGGTTTTCAGCATCATATCCAAACGCTTCCAGTGTCTTTCCATCTGACTTTATCAACAAACACGTGGGTGCTTTTTCTGTAACTAGAGTTCCACTAGAGAACCATTGCTTGACAGTCGCTTTAGTAGGATCCGCCTGAAAATCATGCAGGAAGGAGAAAGCCCAGCCAGAATAAGTTGTGCCAAAGTCTATTGCTCCGACGAGCAAGTCCCTTGTAGCCTAACAAAAACAAGTGGAAATGGTCATAGCAGATTTTAAACAGAATTATATTGTGTTGAAATATGTATTATTGCTGAGATACCGTAGAAATCATAAAAAAACCTAAATAGGAGAGAATCACCGACCCAAAGAAGGGGAGCGATGGCCTAGTGGATAAGGTGTCTGCCTCTCAACCCTGGGATCATAGGTTCGAGCCCTAATCGGGTGACAATCATATGTTTCTTCATATGACACCAGTACTGGTTGGTTGCAAAAATTTGTTTCGCAAATTACTTTAAATAAATATGTTTAAACCAATCACGAATAAACAGAAAATGAAACGATAATTCATACAAGAAAATATAAAACCTTGCTGACATGAACATCATTGTTATTGTTTAATTCCGATATAAATGTTCGTATTCGAAATAAGAAAAAAAGTCAAAAATTCATCAAACATTATAATTATGTTTAGTTCGTAATAAAATACATACCATGTCAAATGACCTTCTTATTCGCAGTTTCTCTTCTCAAAGTCACTTTAAAACAACCAGGAACATAATTGTCAAATTCGTTTTCCATGAATAAATCCAACAATCAGGTATAATTTGTACGTAAGATTTACCGACTTAGTCCCATTTTTAAAAACAGTTTCAGAATCTACGTGTTATTATAACTACCATGTATCATTTTGTAAATAGCAACTGATAAGTCAAAGATAGAATTATGATATAGTTTGTAAAATAGAAAATACATACCATGACAAATGACCCTCTTATATTTGCAGTTTCTCTTCCCAAAGTCACTTTAAATCAACCAGGAAGCTAAATGTCATATTCGATTTCCATGAATTTACGCGTCAAAACTGTTTTTTTCTATCGATAATTGGTGCTCAGCCAGTACGTTTACCTTATGATTTTGAAGGTCACAAATATCAGGTAGCATTTGTAGATAATAACATTTGCCGATTTAAGTAAATAGTAAACTGATTAAATATGAGAATATGTAATAAACAAAACAAAGTTCTTTGCTACTTTAATTTAACCTTGTGATATAAAGTTTACAATATTCATGTCTTTCTAATCATGGGTAAATATACGCTACCTTAGCAGCGTACACAACGATACTTCGCTCAGTTTGCGATGTGGCAGTCCAGTCAAGTTCAATGTCACTTCGGGAAGCAGCAAGAGCATATAAAGTCAGACGGTCGGCCTTGTTTGACAAAGTAAACAATAGAAGTCCGTTAGCTCCAACATCCAGAACTATTTTTACTGCAGCTGAGGAACCAAAAAGTGTTGACTTTGGACGAACCACAAATGAATTGCTGGGCATGGTTAAAAAGATAGTGGATGATGATGATCGCAAAATCCCTTTACCGATAACAGACAAAGCAAAGATCGGTGGTACGTACGCGTTTGTTAAGCGACATCCCGAAATTGTAGAGAGAACGCCACAGCAACTTGGAATTCCATCAAAGGATCAGACGCGTTTCAATTTGTATAGGGCGTATAGTACTGACGAGGTAACTGGATATAAAAGTGTTTAGAAAATAACTTACATTCACTGCAGTCATTTGGGAATTTGTTTCATTAAAGTAAATTTATGAATAGAAACATTTTCTATGCTGTTAACAGATATTTTGGCAGAAGAGTAAATAATCAAAATACCTCTACATTTCTCCCATCTACCCATGTATGACCAGTTTGTTTTTAAATTTTCACAAAGAAAAGGGTAAAATTCTTAGAACTATACTAAATATGCTTATTATCTTAGTTGGTATCTATTATAGCATTTCCAGTCTTTATTATATTTCAGACAAAGACAAATTAAGATTACTTTTTTGTACCCAGTCAATAAATTACGACCGCTGTCCGTTACAAGAACGAACGATGTCTCAGCAACGTGTTTTGTAATAGACAGGCATTGTTTGTTTTGTAGATATTTCCCAACAGGTATCCATATGTCTTCTTGAATAAAGAAATCCCAGTGATCTAAGGTAAAATATTTTCTCAAATAATGTGTGCATTATTTCATGGTAGACATAGACTTTTCTTCAATATAAACGAAACCGTGTTTTTGTCCGTTTTATGGCGTTATTACAAATATCTTAATAATTCTGAAAAGCACGGGGGAAATGCATTGTTTCTTGGCAGGGATAATATAATTATCAGTCACAAGGAATTGACAGATTTAAATCATTGTGATAGTGGTACATGTAAAGTAGACAAATAAGGTGCATTTCTTCTCCCTAAAGACAAGAAGTAGCTACGTATGTTTATAGGCCTACAACAAAAAATAATTAAACAGATATTGCAGAGTGAATCGTTATCGGGATGTAGACTATTACTATTAATGTATAATTTTAGAAGAAAATACATATTTGGTGGAGAAATACATAACACAGTTTTATTCAGAATCTAACTCATTTCATATTTCACTTCGGACATGAAGTCGACCCAAGTTGCGGATATGCTCTTCTTCACGATACTTAAATGATAGTAAAAAATCGTGTAGATTCTTGTAACTTTAATAGAATGCCGTGATTCTGATTTCCTGCCACTCTTATACCAGAGACATAGATGTTATCTATGTCTCTGCTTATACTTATAGTTAATATTACGTACCTATCAATCGCGTGGTAATTTGAAAATCGCATTTTGTTTTAATAATGATCTAAATGGGTCAAATCATTATTTCAAAACGATGTTTATCCAGCCAATATTAAATTTCTGATCCATGAATATCTAATCTATGAAAATGTACATCTACATCGTACGTCGGCGCAATCACACTGATTATAACGCGACGGGTGGTTCTAGGTCAAGAAAAAGAAATATACAAGAAATGATAGAAAGTTAGAAGAGGTTGGATAGGTCAAAAGGAAGAGATATAGACAAAGCAAAGCAAAATCTGTCATAAGGTTTTATGTATAGTTTATGCAGGAGAATAGTCGAGGCATGGGCTTAAAATCCCTGGTTGAAACGGGCCGGGCCAGATATTTTCAATCTTTATATTTGAAAGATCCTTGTGGGTTGAAATATCAAGGAATTGAAGCGCCTTACTTGTTAAACTTGAATATTTTACTATGCTGTAAGCTCTTTGTGAGATAAAAGATACACATATTCCTTTTACTCTGAAACAAATGTACGTGAATACTCACTTCTCTCATGTTTGATATTTAGTATCGTTGGACCTTACAGAGCGCGCGAATATTAATTTAGTGGTCTTCAATACTAATATTATTGAATATCATAGACGTTGCCTTCTTATACAAAAGTCGAGGTGAAAAGTGAGCGACCATAAACTTAAATTATCCTGCATTGTTACCATAAAGAAAGGTAATAATTTTTACATCGGCAATAATATTACTACGTTAGCAGATGCTTTAAGTATATTTCTCGTAGTCTCAACTGAGTACAAGATCATTGCTTTAAATTTACAAGAAAAACGGCGTCGAGGATAATTGAGGCCCGTATTGAGGGTGCTGAACGGTCAATTCGTCCCCGACACGGGCCATCGATGACCAATATTTAAAATCTAGCAACATATAGATTCTATCTTTTGTCTGCAATAATCTGAAATGTTGTAAAAATTAATATTTTATATTGTAAATCATAATATGACTATTAAACTGAAATTGTAACAAAAAGAATATTTACCTTGAGTGTGTACAAAGCAAAATCTTTCATAAGGTTTTATGTATAGTTTATGAATGACAAAATATAGGGTTAACACACATTTTTTGTGTTATAACGTCTGCAGAGTCCCGAGGAACGGTTGGTGCCCAAGCCCGGTAGGACATATACCATTAGAATATAGGGAATGTCATTGTTTACATTGACAACTTACTGATTAGTAGTGATTATTCTAGCGCGGAATGACAGGGCGCTCCGCCCTGCCCCTTTTTAGGTCCGCCCTTTTGCCTCTAAAACACCGCCCGTATACTGAAATGCGCCCCGCTGCCCTCTTTTACCTGTACCCAATCAATAAGTATAAGATAGATCTACATAAAAAACCTGTCAATCACTTATCTATAAGATAAGATTACGATGTTGTCACGTTCCAATATACAAACCTGGTGCCCCACGGCGATAACAATTGACTGACCGATGTGAAGTGGGCCGTGTGAAGCGGCCCCGTGTGAAGTGGTTTCGATCAAATTAGCTATGTTTGCAACAGTTTGAAATGATTTGTAAGGAACATTACCGACTGATTGATAATCCGTGGTCATTAACCAAGAATCGATTTTAAATGTGTTTCTCCCTTGCAATTCAACATTTATATAAAAGGAGGTGAATGAAATAATTTGTGTACGAAGCCACTACACTAGCAGTACGGCCCTGGACTAAAGTACGGTCCTGTACTGCCGTACTGCAAGCCGTTCGTTACATAGACTATTTAGACTAATCGTACGGTAATTTTACAGAAAATAAACAAAGACAATTATGAGTAAGCGAATATTTGTCTCTAGCTGTAAGACATTTTAATGAATTGAATGAATTATTAATCTACAGATTAACCGTTTTTCTGCGGTTGAAAGTCGGGAGATTTTTTTTTATGAAATAGTACAGTAACAACTACAGTTAGAATCTATTAGTTACCTGTAAAATCATATGTGAAATATAATTATAAATTGCAAGATAATGACAATTTGTAATCAATTTCAATCAATTCGAAATTAGATTTACTTTATAAAGATAAAATCGTTGGTTTTTCTTTGAACATCTCTGTACAGAGTACAGTACATGGTAATTTTTTTTAGCTAAATGTGACTGTTATTGTGAAATATAAAAGATGACTGAAGTAATTTCAATAACTTGAAATTGTTTTATAACCCAAATTTAATTAGAAAATTAACCAGTCTTTCTATATTATTACAGAGTGACCTAAAGTAACGAACCAATTAATTATCACTGCTCAAAGTACAGATTCAAATAATGAAACAAATTCCAAGTTATGAAAGTTTTTAACATGAAACCTTAAAATTTACATAAAATGTGACAATGTAAATGTAGCCCTGCAATAAAGTCATTGATACAAATATATACAGACAGTGCAATTCTTTCATTCAAATATAATTTCCATGAGCTTTAAATCTATAAAAATAGGACAGAGGACAGTCATGAGAAAATCACTTTTTTGCCAGGGTGGCATACAGAACTATTCACCTTCTTGAGGTACATGCAGCTTTTATTTCAGTCACAAACAGTTCTTAGTTTATCTGTCTTGGTTTTAAGCTGTGCCACTTTTTAACAGTTCTCTCAATGTCTAGGTATTTATCATTTCTGTGAATCATAAGAAGCTGATGCACACTATTGACACTATCACCATTAATATAGAAAATAAACACCACACTGAACCAAGTAACCAGAAAGTGTTGAGATAAAGGGAGGTAATTAATCTACTGATAAGATATGAGTTATCTGACCATGATTATCATAACGGTCATAAACTATCTGTATTGACACATGTTCCACCCTGCCCCTTTTTGATGCCTCCCTGCCCCTTTTTCAAGTCTAGAATAATCACTACAACTGTCCGTTTCTTAGAAAGGGGGACAACCATGATAAGCGGCGATGTCTATATACGCCGTATTTCCGGCATAGTTACTTGAATGCTGCTCGCCGTTATGGGATTGAGGCCCTCGAATCAATAATTTCAATATAACACTTTGGCAAACAGGCCAAATCATCATTTTTTGTTTGTTTACTTGGCCCTGTATGTATTGTGCATAGGTTAAACCGGGCTGTAACAAGAGCACGTGACTATGTTAACCCATTACTTCATATACACGCCTTTTTCACCCCCCCCCTTTTTTTTTTGTCTCAAATGATGAAAATATGCAATATTTAAGCCCCAAACACTTGTTTTTGTTTGAGAAATGTTGTTAAAAAAAGTGACCTCTTTTTCGGCGCGGCCCCCCAACCAAAAGATACATCAGGGGGTTGCCAGAAGGGGGATGTGCCCCCTTCTGTTTGGGGGTTCGAAGGGGGGCAGAGTCCCCCTCATCGCCAAGAAAATTTTAGACTTGTGAGAGGCTGTAAATGACCCCAGATTGATCATAAGGTAACGTGTAACCAACCCTGAAAAGCATTTGACTCTATCTCAATCCATTGAGAAGTTGCAGCACTTTGAAATCAATTTTGATGGAAAAAATCAACGCAAAATAGTGATTTTTGGCAATTTTGAGATGTCCCCTCGTTGCCATGGTAACAGAAAATTTAAGCCTGAGCATGTTGTTGCAAGGGCAATGGTCCAGTCAACATTTGTGCCAAGTTTGATTAGTGTTGAAGCAGTTTTTATAGTATTATAGCAATTTGAACTTGTAACGGGAGACTTTTCAATGAAAACAGCCATTTTTCACAAAATGCTCATGAAGTAATGGGTTAATGCATGGTTTTGGCCCCGTTATAACATGGGCAAAAGAGGGAAAAATAGCCGATTTTATGCTATATAATACAGTTTGAAGTCTGTTGTTGAGCAGACAGATCATGCTATTTTTTTGCACGAACACTAAGAACTGACCCTATTATATAAAAGTAGGCAAAGCCTATATGAACGGGGAAGTCAGATAAAAAATCTGTTCATTTGTTATTTTATATTTTCAATTTAAAGGTGTCATTCGGTATTTTATGCACTGCCCATATAAAAATGATACAGAAAATTTCGATGATAGGTATAAAAATCTATATATTAACTTTTTAATTAATTTTTAATTGATTTCCTTTTAAATATACTCGTGCAGTCTATAGCCGGGCAAGCCAAAGCCCTTTGACTTCCTATTCTTAAGTTTGTTCTTCCTGCTCTACAAAACACTGTATTTTGTCGCTTAAATTTAGTACCAACCTCTGCAAAACTCCCTGTAAATAATTGTCAAAATGTGATGATGCATGTATAAACAAATGTAATTGTTTTGTAGTTATGGAGGTTGAAGGCGATGAAGATGACCTTGATCAGTTTATGGAGGTGGTCACTATGTACAGGTGTAAATTCTGCATCTTTACAGCAACCAGTCCTCGAGAGATGGCGCTGCATGTTAAACATACACACATCAAGAAATCAACATTTACAGGTAAAATATTTGTGTAATATAGACAGTTTAACATTTTTAGCATTAATATATATATAACTAAATCAAGTAAAGTTTGGCTTTGCTAGTCGTCCTGGTATTGGTATAACTATTCAAAATTTTGTTCAAAACAAATACTTAAAAAAAAAATTCTTATAAATTATTAATTTCATTTTTATGTGGCCTCTACAGAGTAGTGGCGACATATAGGGATCACTTCTCCGTCATCTGTCCGTCCGTCTGTCCATCCGTCACAAAACTTGTCCGGACTACTCCTCATAAACTACTGGTGCAATTTCATCCAAACTTTACAGGAATGAACAGTACCAAGTCTAGTTGTGCATATTGTCAGCATTTTCCGGTTCAATGATTTTTATTAGAGTTATGGCCCTTTAATAATTTTTATTTTTAAAGTTTGTCCGGACTACTTCTCTTATACCACTAATTCAATTTCAATGAAACTTTACAGGATTGATCTGTAGCTCAAGTCCTTGTGCATATTGCACAGGTTTTCCGGTTGAATGATTTTTGGCCGAGTTATGGCCCTTTGATAAAAAGGTGTTTTTTTCTGTGTGTTGCCAGATACACAAAAGCTTGTCTGGACTACTCCTCATAAACTACTGGTGCAATTTCATCGAAACTTTACAGGAATGATCAGTACCAAGTCTAGTTGTGCATATTGTCAGCATTTTCCGGTTCAATGACTTTTGTCAGAGTTATGGCCCTTTAATAATATTTATTTTTAAAGTTTGTCCGGACTACTTCTCTTATACCACTAATGCAATTTCAATGAAACTTTACAGGATTGATCTGTAGCTTAAGTCCTTGCGCATATTGCATAGGTTTTTCCGGTTGAATGATTTTTGGCCGAGTTATGGCTCTTTGATAAAAAGGTGTTTTTTCCTGTGTGTTGCCAGATACACAAGAGCTTGTCCGGACTACTCCTCATAAACTACTGGTGCAATTTTATCCAAACTTTACAGGAATGATCTGTACCAAGTCTAGTTGTGCACTGTCCGTCTGTCACAAAACTTGTCCCAACATGAAATTGGCCATCATGAGGCGACACATGTGATCACTGATCGCTCTTGTTTAAGATACACCATTACTTTCCACAAATTGTATAATAAGACTTTCTTTTTTCATTTACTTTATTGGCATAAGCGTCAACTGTTGCATTTTGCTTTAAGGAGACATACTTTACATATTGGCTTAGGTGTTACTGTAATAAAAAGAAAAGTTAAAATTATGATGTTATGCTATCATAGCATAACATCATAATTTTAACTTTTCTTTTTATTATATACGGTATATTTTAGTCAATTTTAAGGAGGATAAATAAGTTGATATGAATTTTGTAAGAATAACATGTATTTTTCAATGGTTGAAACAGATTTTGATTGTTTGATCAATACATTGTAGAAATTGTCTCCCCTGTAACGAGTGCTACACCGACCAGTCTGCCGATGGATAACAACGCCAAACCATCAGATAACCTTATACTACAAAGTGGTAATCCTACAATATCAAAGCTTGATGTTTCATACAGACGCACAGACGCCCTAGAGTCGATAGCTTCAGAAGTCAACTATGACAACAATGGTATTGATATAAATTCTACAAGTGAATCCTCGCAGAGTTTATATACTAATTTGTCACCAGTCAGTTTGCCTATTTCTACTAGCAACTTGTCGACACACAAAAATATGATTATAACTTTATCGAATAATAACCAGCAAACAGTACTAGAACAAACTCAGTCAAATATCGTACCAGAAGTTAGCAGTTCAGAACAACAGACTAATGATTACCAGTTCATTTGTCAGAATTCCGACGGACAATATATATTACAAAACTCGGAAAATGTCCAGATTGGTACCAATGGGATGGTGCATGTTCTGGTGCAAGATTCTGGTGCCGAACCTTCGCTCACCACGGATGCTTTGACAGAAAATAATGAGGAAAGTTATATGGTGGCAGGAAGTTTAAACGAACCTTCCAGTCTAGAGACAGATGTTGACACACTGAGTAAGAAAATTATATTTTACTGACCGTTTTTACATATTTTTAGCAGTTATAAGGTGATTTGAGATCCAAAATAATATTGCCAGTTTTCTGTAGTTCACAACTTATTCAGACTGTGCCATTTTGCTTTTCCATGAATTATTCATAAAGTCTGTAATAAACAAACTATTAAAATCCTTTCAAAGTTTGTATGAAGCTTAGAGTTGCTGTTTTTGTGAGGGTTTCAGGTTAATTGGTTAAATGCCACTGAGACTAAAAATAGATTCCCTACTTTTCCAGAGGAAACTACCAATTTATTTTTATTCCTTATTTTCTTTGCGAGTTAAGTTACTTTTCCAGTTAATTTTAAAAGTGTCAGTGGTTGATTGGTTAACGATGTTGACCTCAAACCAATTTCACTGTATTGCTGTAGGGCTCAAATCCTGCCAGCCTTTCAGGGACTGTGAATTTTTTGATATGAGGAAGCTATCCAGCTAGCTTACAGGACAGTAATGGTTCTAATTAGGTTCACGCCTGTTTCTGAATAACTCAGGGAGAGACACTTTAAGCAGTCTACCATACTTCTTTAAAGGTCTCTAAACTTTCCAAAATAAAAAACATAAAATTTGATATTTCATATAATGTACTAATGTACACTGGATATATTTCATGAACATTTTCTACAACAGATACAGGAGAAGACAACTTGGCAGAACTAAGACAAACAGACACCCAGGACGACATTGTTACAAAAGAATTGTATCTTTGTGGTAACTGCAGTGAGGGATTTGCTTCCATTCAGGTAGGCATTCATTTAAACCATTGACCTTTACCTTGATTTATAAGTAAGGGAATTTGGCCTCCGTGGATGAGTGGTTAAGGTTATTGACTTCAAATCCTTATCCATCTTCACTGGGTTCAATCCCACCAGGGACTTTTGATTCATGTGGTGCTAACTTAAGGAACTTTGTTGGTTCTACTCAGGTGCCAACTAGGGCCTGAAATAATACTGCTTTGCCTGAAATAATGCACAGAGGGTCATCTTAGGTCTTTCTCTACCAGTAATGCTGGAAAGCTGCCTTTTGACCACTACTGTATTGATGCAATGTAAAATCTAAACACTTACAAAAAAAAGTAAGGGAAAAGGATATTGAACAAGTATTTAAGAGTGGGTTTGAAGTATTGATGTTTTGTGTATGTGCTTGTGTGTATTTTGTTACTGATACTTAATCAAGTGATGTAGGCCATAGCCTGCCATTTAAGTTTTTCACATCCTTTACAAAGTTTTTTTTAACTACTCATTATTTAGAATGCCACACACACAGTTTAAAGAAATCATGTTTATTTAAATTTTAGGCTTGTAAGGATCACATGACCAAAATTCACGAAGTGACAGATTTTCAGACAAGTTGTCGAGTAGATGCCGGAACACAAGTGGAACCGAAGAAGAAACCGGGTCGTAAGAAGAAATCGGATCTCATCGAGCAAGTGAAGACAGAACCGGAAGATATTGTGATGTCAGAATCTGACGAAGATTGGGCCGAACAGTTGATGTCATATTCAACACGCAGCAGACGGAAAAGAAGACCTCCACAGGCCTTGAAGGATGATTACTATCTTGGGCGTACCAAGAGAAAAGAACAAAAAAAGAGGGAACCAAAAGAACAGAATGTTAGATGTGAAAAGCCTGGTAATGTTGCTTTTTGTGTTGTTTCTTAGTTAAAAAGATTATTATTTGAATCATGTAAATAAATTGTACTATAAGCTAGAGTGTCCCAGTTCTAGAATTATAGCTTTTACCTATGCCATCTGGCAGAGACCTAATAGGGCTTAGCTGTATAATCATTGTATTGTATTGAATGTATTGTAGATGCCATATGATGTTTTTAAACTTGATAAAAAATAAGTGTGCAATTTCAAGTTATTCACCAATCTTAATACATAAAAGTTCACCTGCTTAACACTTACACTTTTAAATTGGTGTAGTTGACTCGTCCTGCTTAAAGCAGCAGCTTTGAATTTGTAAAGGATTTCAATATCAAAGTTGAGCTGTGACATTATATAGAGCCTAATGTGACAGCATGGATGTGCAGGCTGGCCTAGATTTATACTAGTAGAATAGTCAAGTTATTGTCAATGTTAACATTTCAATGGAATTACATTGACTTATGAGTGCTATGTCATCTGATGAGTGTATGTGTCCTTCTTGATAATAGTCATAATAGGTCATATTATCTTTTCGTTTCATAAATGATATATAACTATGGAGACAACTAATATGTTACAGGTTGTGGGTTAGGATTTAAAGATGAGGACACCATGAGACAACACGTTCAGTGTCACATTGAAGATGCAGACTTAACTGGGCCGCAATTCCGGTAAAATATCATTAAACATTTCATTTAGTTCATATAGATTATTCATGAGCTTAATTCCACTAGCTTAAAGATGATTGTTTGTTTCTTTTCACAAGATAACTCATGCCTGAAAAAAGCTCTTGCTTCATTTGTAATTTGCCTCAATGACATAACCTTTAGATCATCATATGACCATGATTACTGTTACCTTGATGTTGTCATATAACTATTACTGTAACCATGAGGTCATCGTATGACCTTGATCATACCCTAAAGGTCATTATATGACTTTAATGATAATCCGGAGGTCATCATATGACTTTAACAATACTTCCCCATGGAATTTTTAATAAATGTCCATTATTATGGGAAAAATGTTTTTAATTCGTTAGCATCTTTTTAAGATTAGTTTCTTTTCAAGTGACATACATCAGAATTAATTAAAGGAAAATAATCTTTTCGAGTGACATATACCATCTAAATTAATTAAAGGGAATGTCATTTTATAAATAAAGCATGTTTCAAGTTTGATCACATTTTCCATGAAACACTGTCTTCCATCAATTATTCACAATTTGCATTAACAATTTTTCTGAACACAACTAAATAAATGATCTAACAGATGTACAGCATGTGAAGAAAAGTTTGATACATGGAGATTGGTGAGACATCACCTGTGGAAGGAGCACAAGATCTCCATAGATCTCCTCAACTGTCCTCATTGTCCAATCTATAAAACTGATACACCATCTAAATTAAAGGTAAGACATACTCTTGTACATGTACAGTCATACTTGTCAACAAAGGTCACCAAGGGGAAGATGTAAAATTGGTCTTTGTTTGAGGGATAATATCATTATGTTTGATAAAAAATTATTTTAACTCCCCTATAAACATGTATTGTTTTATCATGTTTACTTATGTTTTTAAAATATAAGTAGATCTATAAGACAAAAATTCAATACAATACATTTATATAGGGATTTTCATCGTGGGAGGAGGGATCAACATGACCAGTGTTGGCAAGTTACAGCTACTCGGAAGTGACTATTAGCACAAGTTAGACTGTATATGAATGCACTCTGATAGTTCTGTATAAAATATTTTCACAGAGTTTGTCATAGCCTTCTGGTGACAACAGATTTTACCCATGCAAACAGTGCAGACCAAGAACTGATATGGCCTGCACTGTTTGCTATTCAGTTAATATATATTTTGATTTTTTTCCTTATTTATGGTTTAGTCTATATTGAAAGGTGAACAGGTCCATTTTAAATATTTAGCCTTGTAAAAGTTAAATAGTTGCCACCAGAGTAATTGGTAAAATAAAATATTATCAGAACATGTATAATATAATTTGAAACATGGGTTTTTACCTACATTTGATCTATTGTTACTTTTCTGACATTAAATTATCTTCATCCAAGATTGTTATAAATAATCTGACAAGAAAAAAAAATGATCTTAAACATTAATAGAAATGCCCTGTAATCACCAGAATCTGCGCTTGCGGGCTCCTTACCCAGCCAGTGAATGTTAAATTCATAGATACATATCTATAGCATATAAATTGTCATTTGCTCTGTACATTTTGCCTCATAAATTAATTAATAGATTTGTTATGTACACATATAATTTGATTTATTTCAGATACATCTAGAGACACATGGCAGCGAGCGTGCCTATGCATGTCCAGTATGTGGTAAAACTTTTAAACAATTCGCTCAGATGAAGAACCATGAAACATGTCATCTTCCACAAGATATAGTCAACTCTAAGTCAATGTCAGACAGATGGTTTGTATAAAAATGTCATATTTCACAATTCATGATATATTTCTTCAATTAAGGCTTATTTCCCCAATGCCAGTGTTAAATGTGATGAAGTGGCGGCCATCATGGCTAAGAGGTTTGAGATGCTTACCTTACATCACTTGCGTCTCTGCTCTGTTTGTTTGAAACCAGGAACTTTGGATTATTCTGTATTAGGATGTTTTACAGCTAGCTTATAGAAGGTTAGTGGTCCTGTTAAGATATCAGCTTATATCTAAATAAACACATAAAGTAGCAAAGAAGGTCTTCCTTCATTAAGCTAAAATGTCATCACAAAAGCTGCACACTTGTTGTCTGACATTTACATTGTTTATGTAACAAGAAAGCTAACAAAAAAATGAGAAGAAAAGAGTCTGACAGTATTAAGTAAAATGCTAATTGATACATTTGTTACAGGGGGACATTTCACTTTTTTTGACAGTTTGCCATACTATTCAATGTATTCACTATTGTTAGCAATAACCAGCCATAAGTACTTGAGTTTTATTTGCCTTTATTTGCAGGTATACACCAAAGACGTGTAATATTTGTGGTCGAAGATTTGTCAACGTAAAGTGTATGAAGAAACACAAGGAAGTGGTGCATGGTGGGAAAAAAGACTTCAAGTGTACTTACTGTAGTTATGAGTGTTCAAGGAAAGCCATGTTAGTTCTTCATCTTAGAATACACACAGGGCATAAACCATTCAAGTATGTATCTTATGATGTGTTTGGTTTTATTGCCAGTTTTATATATGGTATTTTATTTCAGTATTGGGTAAGATTACTGAATGAGTGTTCCTATAATCTGAATTAGTGTTAACTTGAGTTTTTGTAACATACTGTGAATTCACTTATATTTATGGGCATGAAATTTCATGGTTTTATCAAAACAGGCATTTTCCTGTGTTCTTAAATTTGTAAATTTTCATTTTCTTGTTAAAAAAAAAGTTACTTAATTTAAAGTATTCTTACAATTAATAGCCACGCTTTTTGTACTTTAAATTTCATCAGATCTTAAATTTGCGGATTGACCTACCCACGAAAACCACGTAAATTTGTGCTCCAGTATCACGAATGATAATGATCATTCCAGTATTTACCTTGCTTTGATTTATGAGCATTTTTAGCTCGACTATTCGAAGAATATGAGAGCTATTGTAGTCGCCCCGGCGTCGGCGTCCGCGTCGGCGTCTGCGTTGGTTAAAGTTTTTTGTAAAGTCAAATATCTCAATCATTACTTGAGATATTCAATTGAAACTTACAATACTTATTTATAGTAACAAGGTACATCAGATTGACAAGTTGGATAACTCTGCCTACAATATTGACAGAATTATGCCCCTTTTTAACTTAGAAATTTTGGTTAAAGTTTTTTGTAAAGTCAAATATCTCAATTATTGCTTGAGATATTTAATTGAAACTCACAATACTTATTTATAGTAACAAGGTACATCAGATTGACAAGTTGGATAACTCTGCTTACAATATTGACAGAATTATGCCCCTTTTTAACTTAGAAATTTTGGTTAAAGTTTTTTGTAAAGTCAAATATCTCAATTATTGCTTTAGATATTCACTTGAAACTTACAATACTTATTTATAGTAACAAGGTACATCAGATTGACAAGTTAGATAACTCTGCCTACAATATTGACAGAATTATGCCCCTTTGGAACTTAAAAATTTTGGTTAAAGTTTTTTTGTAAAGTCAAATATCTCAATTATTGCTTGAGATATTCAATTGAAATTTAAAATACTTTTTTATAGTAACAATGTACATCAGTTGCAAAATTGCATAATTCTGCCTGCAATATTTGCAGAATTATTTGCCCCCTTTGAAACTTAGAAATTTTGGTTAAAGGTTAAAGGTCTTCAAAGATATTTACTTGAAACTTTACACATGCACTTAGGGGTCATAATTGGAGGGTCATAATTGTCACTGACCAAGTTCCATAACTCTTGTTTGCATTAAGGCTGATTCATATCCCCTTTTCTACTTAGTCTCTTGGTTAATGTTTACATGCAAGTTTTACATATCTCAATAACTATTAAAGATATTTATTTAAAACTTCACATATGCATTTAGGGTCATAATTGTAGGTCACTGACAAAGATCCATAATTCTATCTTGCATTTAGGCTGATTTTTCTCCCCTTTTTCAACTTAGAAATTCATGGTAAAGTTTTGCTTGTAAGCTGTTATCTCAATTACTACTGAAGGGTTTGTGCCTTATTTGGGACAATTTTATGCATTCTTAATAATAAAGCAGTGATTTACTTGATAAAACATCTTAATTAGAAGCTTTTGTACCTTTTCTGTCAAATTTATGTATTCATAGGTAATTAGTATTATTATACTCAATAAAACACCCTTGTGACATTACCTTCTGAATAGTCAAGCCAATACTGTATAATTAGACTCTCTCTAAGGCCTATAACATGAATTTATAAAAAAAAATTAGCCCTTTTGTGATCTTAAAAAATTTAACATTATTAAGGCTCTTTTACTATCAAGCACTTAGAATAGTCGAGCGTGCTGTCCTACCGACAGCTCTTGTTAATCAACCCATTACCATATATACATGCCTTTTAATGCCTTTTTCACAACCCCTCCCCACCCAAAGTCTAGTTTAGGGGATTTCAACGGCAAAATGCAAAAATATAGTTACTAACAGTGTAGAATGTGGTCAACCTGCACAGATCGGAACGCTCTGGCCTGGCTCTATATTTCAGGTGAAGGTTAATTATTTCCAGTCGGTTAATTTTAACTGCTAAAATTCTCCATGTAAACCTTTAATTGAAACAATGATTGAGAATGTATGATGTGTTGCTGTCAATCACAAAACAGCCTTCCATAGTAAAAAAATGATCGAAATACTTTGTTTTACTTTTGTTTTCATTCGTGTTTTTATATAATTTTATCAAACATAATATATTGGTCCTTCATTTATGATTATTTCTTTCAAGTATACACAAGTGTCAAGTTATTAATGTATAACACAAACTTGCTATCAAAAGTAATGGAATGAATTGATACAGCACCTTGCCAATGTCAGGTGTTTAATAATTTGTAGTAACCAAGAAGAAAACATTATATAGCAATATAGATTATGTTTTAAAAAATATATAGATTATTTTAAAAAAACAACAAAAAACGAGCCAATTGCATTTCCTAGAATTTTTATTATTTCCAGATGTGATCAATGTACATATTGCTGTGGGGACCACAACTCTTTACGAAGACATAAGATGCGTCACACGGGACAAAAACCCTACAGATGTCCACATTGCCCATATGCCAGTATACAAGCTATATCTCTCAAAGTTCATGTAAAAAATAAACATCCTGGTATGGGAGGAATTTACTGTTGTGACTGGTGTTTATATAAAACTGTTAATAAACAACAATATGAAAACCATGTAATGGATCATAAGAATGGTTTGATAAAGACAGAACCTGTTGTTAAGGAAATACAGTTGGGTCCATTACAAATAGTTAAAATCCCCGAAACAAAAAGGCCTGGAACCATGATTTTGGGTCCAAATTTATCTACAGTGTACACAAGTGTAGCCAACAATCAGAATATATTACAGGTATTACAGACTCATGCTACCCAGAATTCCAACATACAGGAAGTGCTTCAGCCACATGTTACCCAGAATTCCAATGCACAGGAAGTTATAGAAACATCTGGTACACAGCCTGTTCTGCAAACACAACCACTTATTCTGGAAGATGGACAAGTTAACCAGTTACAACTACAAATGAATGAAAACAATGAAAATGTCATTGTAGAAGAATTTGGAAAAGAAGTTTTAGCACCCAATGACATTGCTGCGGCGCAGCTTATTTATTCCACTCTCACCGCCATTTCCCAGAATCCTCACAACGGGAAAGAGGACATAGATTGTCAGGGTTTAGTCGCTGGTGTCGAGAGTGGTGACATTCAGACTTCTATTGAAACAAATCTAAAAGAAGGGGTGACAACTCATACTATAACTTTTCATCTCCCAGAAGGTGAAGAAATAACAAGGGAGGTAACTTTACAAGATCAAACTGAATCGAAAGACGGTATAAATGTGATACAGTTGGCAGGAAACAATGAATGGCAAGAATGTGACAGTATAGATGAGTTTCAGGCAACAAATTAACGAGAAGTGAATGAAAAAGTGGAATGTATTTAAGCTGATAAAATGAAAGAGAATCTCAGTTTTTAATATGGTTTCAATAATGTTTGATTTACCGTAATGTTATTGATACATGACAGTGCTTTCTATGTAATTCTGCAAATTTAATGTTATTAGTCTTAAATGTTTCAGGTCTTATTTGATCTTCTTCAAACTTTGTCAAAGGACGTTTTGTTATAGATCATAAGGGTAACTATTTCAAATTAAGAAGAAAATAAAATCTTGTTATAAATATAGAGAGACTTATAAATAACGTTAGAATATTGGTTGTTTTTGGAAGTATGAAATAAAAGTAAGTGTGCTCAGGTGAGTAATAAAATAAAAGGGCCATTATTGTTTGTTAATGATGAATTTTATGATTTATCATAATTACATAATACAATGTATTAATGAGATGTAATTTGATAAAAAAAAATCAAATGCCTCAAAAGAAACATGTTTTGAAAATGTTGAGTGAGATAATTACTTATTTATCAAGTTTTGTTTTGTTAAAAATAAATTTTGGTTAAAATTCTCCTTATTTGTTTTTTATGTAAAGTATGTCTTGAATCTGTGTATGTCTTACTCTAGGTAGTTCACAGAGTCATATATGCCTTGGGTCTTAATTGAATATCTTTCATGCAAGAAAGCTACAGGGACAGCTTTTGGAAGGTTGTTGGTTCTACCATAGAGGCCACATTGTGCTGGAAACATGGTGTGGAAAAGAATCCATAGTAAAAGTGCCATCAGTAAAATGGAAAGTGGTCTTTGCACTCTAACAGTGTCTGTAAGACAGATATCTAAGAGAAATGGGTCAGGACACTTTTTACAGGGCTCTAAATGTGTCACTGATATTCTTCATGGTTTTACCGGTTACTTCATCCTGTTTAACTGTGCATTTTCTTATTTAATCCTAGGGTATTTGCAGCATCATTCGAAAATTTGAAGCCAACTGACAATTTCAATAAAACTCTTGACAATTTTCACTTACTAAGGAACTAAAAGGTGAACACCACTAAATCTTATTATACCACTAAATCATGTGCCAATAATTGATCAGCAAATATTTTCACTATTGTTCATAAAGCATGAACAGTTCTTGTTAATATAACCGGGTACTCGGATGAAAGGGGGGATTTATCGGTGTTTAACCTAAAAGAAAAACGAAATTTCACAACTGTTAGTTTTTCACAGCACCACTCATATGACTTCCGAGGTAAACAAACCTTTGTTTTTAACTTTTTACTGAGCTGTTGCTATACTTTGGTTATATCTCTATATTATTTAATCAATTTTTAGTCAAAACAGTTACATATATCAAGTCGGCCATTTTTCCTAATTTATATATCCCCGTACTGCCTCTTTCCAATCAGCTAACAGATTTTTCAACAATAACTGACAGTGAAATTAAAAATTTCTTTCAATTCTGCGAATATTATCATTTTAGCTAATAAATGCACCAACTTTTTAAAATTTTACCTGAATTATTATTATGAATCGAGGACAAATCATTACTGACCCATTTTCCTGTTCTTCAAAATTTCACAACCACTTTTCAATCAGATAACAAAATATAAACTGTACCACATAAAAATTGTCATACAATGTTAAAATATGATCAGTTATGTATTATGGAGAAATTTTGACAAACTCAACTTCAGATAAATGGTAATAAACAATTTTAACCTAATTATAATGCCATTTTTCAATCTTGATATCTATTTGCAGTGGTAAAGCTGTCGTAATTGGGGTATGGATGTACATTTCAATTTGCATAACAGAGAAAGCATGTTCTTGTGAAGTTTTTAGGATCTTAGGGTCTATATGACCCCATTCTAGTGAAAGCTTACTGAAAAGTTATCAGAGAGAATGTTTTTCCTTGGTTAAGTGACAGTTACTTTACTGACGTATTACCATTAAATTAAGAATTGTATGGTAAAATATGTACATATTAAAATAATAGCTTTCTAAGTGCAGTAAACATTATGACTTAATGATATTGAAACAGTTGTCCAACTTAATATCCATTTCTGCAGACTGACAAAAAACTGAGTCTGTAAATCAATTATTTTTAGAAAATTATTGCGATTTGTAACTTGGAAAATAAAGGATTAGTGGAAAACACACATTTTACATAATTTGAACTAAAATGCTAGCATTTTCTTTTTTATCGCCATAATTGACATTGCTGCTGATAAATTTAGTCAAGGTGATACAAGATGTGCTTACAGTTTGGTTACATGACAAATAATGTCAAAAATAAAAAATTTCTAGGGATGATTGAAAAGTGGTTGTGATTGAAAACTGGCAGTATGTGGATATCCGCGAAAAATGATTAACTTTAATACTATTCGGACATATTTTATTTTCGGATATAGGTAAGTTTTAGTTTATTTTGAAGAAAAAGAATATAATGTTGTGTCATGATATAGAATAATAGAATTTCATAAATTAATGAATTGATACACTATAAAATTCAAAATAACGGACAAACCCACTTGCATGTACATGGACAAAATTTGTCAATTTTGCAACCATCTGTTGTTTCAACTGATATGCAATTACAAATCCTGCAGATGCACATGTCATGCACATGAGGCAAAGGTCTAAGTCATACTTGGTGTTCAGAGGAAAACACTTATCTGGAACAAATTTCTACATACATAAATGAACAAACAACACAGGTTAAGTTTTAAGGTTTTATTTAATGACAATAACTGGGCAATCTCCTGGATTAGACCCCTATGTATATTTCAGAAGTAAAACTTGTATATAATGCATTTTGACTCTCAGGAGTCTTCTTCAGGGTTATAAAAATGCGTAAAGGTATTTTAATATAATGTTCACCATTGAGAAGTAGCGTCACAAAATTTAGATCCCTGTTGCCAGTGTCAGGTCACACATTGAAGTTAAAGAAAGCTTAAATGAAAATGTGTATACAGATAATTTAATCATCATGAATTAACAAACTCTTAACATAAATGTTCATCATTGTGAGATGAGCTTTACAGGCATCAAAATGTGCAAAGGCAAGGTAACTATTCATTATTATGATTGCATTATTACTTGGTACAAATTTTCCCCATTTAAGAGACATAGTTATGCATACTTGAACTAGATCATTAGGACACCAAGAGGTCAGAGAGAATAAATGCTTATAACCTGAACATAACAATTACTTGATAATTTGTGCAAAATTCATGCTGCTGAAGCTTTCTGAATGACTTTTTTTTTACAATAAATAGCACACTCATTGATATTTGTCTTAAAAATTCGTTAATAATTTTATTTATAACATGTAAGCATTATGACAAATCTTGCATTACTTGGCAAGCATGTTCAGTTTCTTATAACACTTACATTTATATCATTTGCAGATGAATCTATTAATAGCAGCAGTCTTATTAAGCTCTGGTATTTTGGTCAGTACTGGAAACACAGATAAAAACATTGACACCACTGACATAGAATATGTACATCTCATCTTTATGAACCATCTTGGTATGTATACAACTTTTTTATTTCTAAATTTATCATGTTAGGTAACCCTTAAAGGAACTCCACGTAGATTTCTTGATATGTTGAAACTGGAAATATTGTTGTTGTTTTTTGTTTTGTTTTTTGTTGTTGTTTTTTATTTAGAGTTTTATAGATTTTACAATCATGTAATCATTTTAAATGAACTATGGAAAATATGCACATATATAACTTAATTTACTTACATTTGTAATCTTATGAAAAAAAATGATTTTGTATGATAACCTGTTGTTCTTCAAGTTTAACTTTCAGAATTTAAATTCTGTTATGGGATATCTTTGGCCATTTGGTTTTACTTTTTATGTATGTAAAGCAATTTTTGTTAAATTTACTTTATAGTGTATACAACAGTTACTGTATTTCCTGTCCGAACTGACAGAAGTCCAGATCGTCTTAATAATATGTTGACACCTTTAAGTGTAGAGTTATTTAGAATCTGATTTTAGTCCGGATGAATTCTTTCTTTGTTTAGATGTCGGCTATGCATTACCATCATCACTTGGGTATCTGGGAAATGTGCTCAACAGATATTTTACTGAGTATTTTCCTCGAGCTGTCAAAGTGACCTTTGACCTGCTGGTACTTGGCTATCAAGAGAGGTTTATTTACACAACACATCCATGGCTAGTTAGTCTGTACCTCGATTGTCCGCCTAACATGGTGCTGCCATCTGGTATCAAACTTCAGGTAAATTTATTAATAACAATGTATAAATATGTAACAAGTTTTGTGTATAAAGTATACTTTAAATAATGTTCAATACTTTAGATAATTTAATTCAAACCTGGGATCTTTTAGTATGACATTCTAGGTACAATTATAGATAATTTAATTCAAAACTGGGATTTTTCATTTAACCCTTATCATGCCGAGTAAACTACCACTGCTAACTACCTGCAGTGCCGAATTAATTTATGTAAGTTAAGGTTAATTGGGGTAAGGTGATTTAAACCTCTCGTTCTACCTTATTATTTTTATTTGATACGTAAACCTATACATTTTTTAAAAGAAGATTAAAATATCTACTTAATGATATAAAAATTATTTTATTTCATTGAGTTTTAGTTTATAAATTTGTATACAAATATCATAAGAAATGTAAAAAAGAACAAAAATTATTAAGCAAATTATGTAATAAATCCTCAATATATTCCTGCTCATTTTCTGACAGATCAAAATAATTATCAGTGCTACTAGAACAAGAACTAGAATTATGTATTTTTTCATCATCAAACAATTGTTCTAAGACATCTTGCACATGCATTTGTCTATTTTGCCCTTCTGTCATTTTTCTGAACTTTTTACAAATGAATAAAACTGAAAACATTCGCACCATCCTGGATTATTTATGTTTAACTTGACCCCAGATTATAGAACAATTAAGATATCTTCTCCCCCATTCACTGGTAATTATTTCTTATCAGTATGACATTGCTGATTAGTGTATTCCCCGTTGTGTATTGGATTACTAACAGATCCGTGATATTTCGGTGTCGGCTGCTGTGGTAAGGACATGAAATCCGAGATATCTCGGTGTTGGCATGATAAGGGTTAAGATGACATTCCAGATATATGTATTATAAAACTGCAGATTATTAAAATGTGATGTCAAAATAGATCAACCCTGAAAAACATACATTTTTACAAAATCTCAAGAAAAGAAATTATCTTATTGGGCATGGGACGTCAGGTAAATCTATTTTATACATGTAAAATAAATTACATGATATTTATAATTGAGCCGTGTCATGACAAAACCAACATAATGGGTTTGCAACCAGCATGGATCCAGACCCGCGCAGTCTGATCAGGATCCATGCTGTTCGCTTACAAACCCTATAACAAGTAGAGAAACTGATAGCGAACAGCATGGATCCTGATAAGACTGCGCCGATGCGCAGGCTGGTCTGGATCCATGCTGGTCGCAAACCCATTATGTTGGTTTTGTCGTGACGCGGCTCAATTATATTGTTTCATACTTTCTGCAGTGTCCCGATGCCGAGAGTAAGGCGGACTTTATAAATGCCATTGAACTAGGATTTATAACATGGCATGCTGGTCCAATGAACATGGAGTTTGAAATGATGGATGAGTCAATGAATGAATTTGGTATACAGCTTAGTCTGGATCTAGATAAAAGGTTTGGTATTGATAGAAAATACCGGACAGTCAGTCAACGAGATGTGCCAGGTCAGTAAAAAAAAATTAAATACTTTGAAAACTTTGATGGGGATAATTTAACATGGTTGGGCTTTTATGGTTTGACTGGTAAAGTGTTTGACGTTTAACTGCCTACCCATTCTATTTGATTTCTTTATAACATCATTTTATAAAGCCAGAAAATATACACAATATTTGTGCTCTAAAGAAATATGTAAGGAATAAATTATTTAATAAATAAGCAAGATTATTTGATAAAGTAAAATTATTACATACCTGTGCAACTATCAAAGCTCCGTTTTGCACAGTTGTGCATTAAATTTAACATGACATCATTTGTGTGTTACAAACATAATGTAAAGACATGATAAATGTTAAAGTTAATCTATAAGGTGTCAATGAAAGGGTGTTTTTTTTTTGTAAATAGTTCGTATTTTGGGTATGTCATAAATAGAATATTTTAATCCTGTAGCTACATTTCTAAAATAAATTTATTCAATAAGTTAAATAAATTGAATATTCAACATTCACTCATTCAATATTATCTATTAATTTTCTTAAATAGAAATGTAAGAATAAGAAGGAATTTATTTTTTATTTGATTGTATTTTAGGTACTACACAGGCTATTATTCCAATATTAAAGAAGATGGGTATATCTGCCTTGTCTATCGGGGTCAACGGAGCAACATGTCCAGCTGCGGTACCCCCAGTGTTTCTGTGGAAAAATGGGAACCAGTCATTAATTACCCTTTACCATCCCAGTAAGTGATTGGTTTTGTTTACCATTCAAGTAAGTGATTGGTTTTGTTTACCATCCCAGTAAGTGATTGGTTTTGTTTACCATCCCAGTAAGTGATTGGTTTTGTTTACCATTCAAGTAAGTGATTGGTTTTGTTTACCAAGAATAGCAGTGGCTGGATGGTTAAGATTTCTGCATTACAAGCCAACGACCTTGAGTATGAGAATTAAAATAATCCAAACAAAAGGTCAAGGGTGCAGATTTACGAAAAATAATGAATTATTTATTTAGCAGGAAAATCTCGGAGATTCAAAAAAATTTCGAGCTGAAAATTTCCCAAATTCCGTACAAATGATAATTGATGATTGGTTGGTGTCAGCTGTCATCATCAGATACACTTTAGTTATATTATTCAATTTTTTCTTGTTACTAGTGTACAAATTCATATTTCATGTGTTCGTTTTGCAGGAGGGTATCCAAACCAGTATGGACCAGCACCTATGAAACCAGGTGGCCTCTCAAAAAATGATTGCGCAATAGTCCCGGGATTAAACCACGCTTTGTGTTTTGCTTTTAGAAGTGATAATGATGGCCCACCAGTAGATTATAAGGTAAATATACGAAGCTTTAGTGGAGTTTGAGGCATAATTATTATATTTACATGAACAATTCAAAGGATATTTGACAGTTAGGTATTTACTATTGACTATATATGCCAGCATTCTCACAGGACTAAATGCAGTGTCTTTGGCCGTATTTAATCTTACAGCAGTTATTTGCAATTGATTTGATGTCAGTGTCCATAGAAAGGTGGCTCAAACAACCCAGCATTAGGGATGTTATGGTTAGCAAAAAAGTTATCCGTTTAAAGGGCAACTTAATGACCGTGCTAAACGTTTAACTGATAGTTTTAAAAGAAGTTTTAGATTTTTAAAATTAACTATATTTTTTAATGATAAGATAGCACATTTTGTTTGTAGATTGTTGTACTCGACAATGATTATAAACCAAGTATGACGTAACTGTTGTCCTTAAGAACCGTACTGTACATGATAAAAAGCATGCAATCTAAAAAAAATACATTTAAAATAAAAAAACAAGATGTCATCTTGTCATAAATAAACAAATATCATTTTTTGAAATAGATCTTAAATTTCATCAGTTGTTGGTCTAATAAAAACCTTGGTCACCTTTAATGAAATTTTTTACCAGTTCTTGGCTTAAAATCGACCAAACTTGGTTAAACGAATAAATATGATACCCCTACCTAGCATATTACTGTATACTTTCACATTCAAACAGATAAGCAAATTATATTTTATTAAAATTTTAAAACAATTTTTTCTAATTTTTTAAAAATTATCAGAAATATTGACGGTTTTATGAATAGTGAGAGCACAGTTTTCCCAAAAGGAGAATAAAAATTTTAATTTAGGATTTTATTGCCTTATGAACCCCATATCCTCGTTTCCCTTTTTTCAGGAATGGGGGAGTTGGGTACCCGAGCTGGTTTTGAACCCTTAAAAACCCCTTTTTGAAGCTCAGTATAGAGTACGCTCCAAATGCATTAAATCAAGTATGTGTTTTATTGATTAAAGAATAGTATACAAATATGGACTTTTCAGCTGGTGAATATGATGTGATATGTACTAAAAAAATTAATATCGCCTTTTTTAGTTCATATCACATCATATTCACCAGCTTAAAAGTATATATCTGATTTATTATATAATTTATAAATAGCTTTTATATTGGCTATCAAATCTGCCATTGAATATGACATAAATTGACTTTTTTCAGCTTGTCTACCTTTTCCATAATTTGGCCCTGTATTTTAATGCGCATTGGCAGGCTGCAGTAAATTCTTAATGTAACTAAATGTAACTAAACAGTAACTTAAATAGACTTAATTAAGTCAAAAGTAACTAAAATAGACTTATTTGACTTTCGTTTGCAATTCGCC